TTGTCTTCTTTTCATCCCCATATTCGTACACGTGAGAGAGAGAGAGAGAGAAGGACAGAGCAGGCGAATAATTTTATTTTCCATCTAGCGAACAGAGCAGCCCTCTGTTCTGCTCGTCATTCAATAAATATTTTAAACTTTTTTCTTTATTTCTTTTCTTTCAATTTTTGATCCTACGATTGCTTAACATTGGCTTACCTGACTAGATCTTGCATGTGATTTTGAAGGCTGTATAGAATCGCTCAAAGTGGGAATTAGTCTTCATCAATTAATTTTGATGCCCCGCCCCCGCTGGCTGCTTGCCAACTAAGGGGCTCAATCAGGGCTTGACGATCTGTGTTGATTTGACTAGCTCTGCTCCGTACCTTGAGCTGTCCGGTACATGTAATTTTCTTTTTAGGCCCAATTAAATCAAATCCATACAAATGCGCATTATATGTACTCGAAAACTCAAAACTTCCTTTAGTTGATTAGTCACTCCCAACCAACATACATGGTTTATTTTAGAATGCATCTATTTCTGATAATACCATCAGTAGAAAGCCCGAAAATAGATGAAGAGAAATGCGATTGACATTCTGTATTGTAAGTTATCAAAATAATTCAATCTTCGAATATAATTATCTAATAAAAGAATAAAAGTTCTGAATTATGAGAAACACGCCACAGACATGAGACCTCGGCCAAAACAGAAATGAATCAAAGCAGAAATTGAAATGTATTGCGTATCTATAATTAAATTAATACAAAGCTAGTATATCATAGGGACAAGGTAGTAACCAATTATGCTTGCGGTACAATATATTATCTATATTATCTTTTACTTCAAGTCATCCTTGGCTTACAAATTGAATTTATCTTTGAATCAAATATTATTTTTTAACAAAGATTTGGAAGATACTTACAAGTTTTTTTTTTTGGACATTAGATAATTAAGGTAGACTCATAAAAAAAAAAATAACACACAACAACATCACATGCATACAGACTCGAACCCAAAAACTCTTAGTAGATAACTATAAGCTCCTAACCAACATACCAAAATAAACATGTTATTTGCTTTGCTCTAGGTTCGGGCATTTGGGAACGATTGTGCCCTCGAAATTTTAACCCACTGATGGACCATGTGCAACTCAAGGCTACTCAACTCAACGCCCATTAATCTCATTTTTGTTGATGGCTAGATGGCACATACTTTTTATATATATCTTGTTATGAATCCCATCCCACGTATTGCTGTTGGATTTTTTGAGATGATCTTGTGCCTCGTTGTATGTACTTTTTTTACAATTACTGGAGCAATTTTTTTTT